GCCTCTAGGGTGTGGATTATACAGGTACTACAAAGACCCCGTCAGGGATGCTATGCCGCGTAGTTCCGTTGCACGAGTGGGTTGCCCTGGAGCAAATGAGGGATAAGGGAACTTCTTACACTGCGCTGCTCTAGCTTCACCTAGGGGCATTAGGCTGCATTGCCTAGCTTCAGTGCCCCTCAAATAAGAGCTGTGTGTCCGACAACTTCAGCTTGGATTTTCGGTGTTGGATACGCAGTCCAGGTCTAGGTTTTGCAGATCGATGTGAAACCCATCAAATGGAAATGAAAACTGTGTCGTGCTCCTCAGGGCTGCTGCTGCTGTGGTACAGCTTGTTGTTTGTCCAGCCTACTGCGCGGATTGACACTTGCCCCCAATCCATTGCGTCACCAGTGCTGGAAGATTTCATTGGCCTGTGTTGCGAAGACAACACAATCAATACAGAACCCTGCATATGTAGCTGCTGCTAGTACCCTTTAGTTTCAGCATCCGGCAAGGCTCTAATTGTCTAATCACCGAGAACCCAACAATAACATAGGGAGAGGATGTTGGAGGTTTCGGCTAGGGGCGGCTTATGTTTCCGGGCAGACCTTTTGTAAGCAGATGTACGTGTCGAGGGGATGGTTTTGATTCTGTGTGTTAGTCAATGTTGTGTTCGCCTGAAGCTTGTTTGCTACAAGCTTTGAGCACCTAGGGGCTCTCAGGTTTTACCATAGGAGCTGGAGCTTGGGGTCCAGGGTTTAAATGATCAGGGTTTTGAGTGAGGACAAAATTTCCCCTGGAGCTTCAAGTCTGTAAACTTGTCTTCTTTGGTCCTCAGGTTTACTCGTCGTACCCCCAGGATTTGAGCGACACGTCGATTGCGCAAGCTGTTCTCAAGGTGTTAAGCATCCTAGCTTTGACATACTACACTTGAGTTGCGAGGGCAGCCTGAGCAGGCTCCAAGACCTATTCCCGATCTGGGTTCAGGGTTAGGAGCTTCAGACTTTGATTAGTCAGTAAGGCGATGAACCCTAGGTATCATCTTGCCACAGCGCCTCAGACTAGCAGACAACAAGCTCGCAAGTCAAGTTTGCCTACAGTGCGCAGCTTGCAGATGAAGGGTTAGTCAAGTCCGACAGTGCTCCGCCATGTCGGGCGCCAGTGACCCTTACGCGGAGCGAACGTAGTACTACGCATTGCCAGGGCTGACTCTGTTTGCAGGTTTCGCTTTATTGTTAAAACTTCTTCCAGTTGGGAAAGGGCGCATTGACAGGAATGGCCAAAGGCTAGGCACGATGAGACAGGTCCATGTAAGACCGGAGGTCTTCAGAATTTATGGTCCAGTTCAGCTTCCGCCACGTCTGCAGGACTCACAGAGCGAAAGCTCGGAGCAGGAAGTCGACTACAAGGCTTGATCTTGACCAGGGAGGTTCCATATGAGGTATGCAGGCGGCCAGTCTTGGCAACCAAGTAGCAGTCCTATTTTTCCAATGTACCTCTTCCGGATCCCACAGGCTCTTCTCGTCAAGAGTACGAGCCCCCAACGTGAGGCTTGAGCTTGGGTCACAAGACACCCTTCGTACGAACAATTATGCCTCTAACAATGACCATGTCAACGGCAAGGAAGAAAAGCCCAACCCCGAATCCAAACCCCAAACCTTCTTGAACTGCCCCTCTCTCTTGCTGGAGGATTTTGCTTGCAGGTCTGGTCGCTGCCCCGCCGCATCATCTGCAATGGCCGCAGCAAGCCAATGCCACCCATCCAGGCCTCAAGGAGCTGGCAGCAGAAATGCCACTAGGCTGTGGATGTATATACTCTTGCGCCACCTCAAATACCCAAGACCGTAGGCCGTGCCACATCATTGAGGTCCGGAACCGACATCCGCCGACCAACACCATCCCGACCGTAGCGACGGCAACAAAATCTCAACGCAGCACAAACAAGCTTCACAAGCGTAGCAGCAATATCAATCGCTGGAGACGATGCCAACAGCATGATGTACGTTTTCGCAAGCATAAAGAACAACAACAGAGGAACAGAAAAAGATCTTGTCAGGCAGATGCCTTCAGGCAAGCTATGCCATACGGGAGTTCTTCAATGTTCTTCACAGCAATCCCTATAGAGTCCCGAAGGGCGACCCCTAGAACTTCCCGATAATCTCCACACACCCCTGAACCCGTAAGCTACTTCTACTTTGCGAAGCTCTAATAAGTCCCTTGCGTGCCGCCTAAGTGATCCCCTTCCAAATCATATCCTGGTTCTTTTCTACTTTGAAAGTTTCCATCTTTGAGGAACCCCCGAAGCACACGTCAGGCCTGGAAACGACCCCCGGGAGCCGCAGCGGACGGCCAAAGATGCGAGGCAGCTGGGATTTTTCGGGCTTTAAGTACGACTTTAGGGCTTAGGGCTAAGGATTCCACATTAAGGGCGAGGGCTTGGTTTTAATTTGACCAAATCCAAGACCTTGTTAATCAGGGACTGTGGGGAACACAACAATTGCAATTCAGAACGGCAGGAATTCAAAAATTCCGAAATAACAAAGTTCAGACAAATCAATGAAATTGCTGAAGTTCGAGCTGCCGGAATTTCACACACCCGACACATCTCGGGAGGCCTAATGAGGCCACCA